ATGTTGGCTCTTTTAAAGAACATAGAGTTGTGTAATTTTAAGTAAGAAAAAAAACACAAGCAATAGAAATCATGGAGAGAAAGTGAGTAATTTTTAAATTTAAATAAAAAATATTAATTTGTGCATTTCTCTCATTTAAAATAATATAATTTTATGTTCTTTAAAAGCACAAATATTTTTCTCTATTTAAAATGTGTATTTATTTTAACCAATAATAGTGTAACCTAGTGGTCATTGCTACATTGTCCATTCCCATTATAAGAGTTCAATTTATAACATTTCGGCACTGGTCAAACCACGGTTCATCATTGGTTCACCAATTTGATACTAGTTTAATTGTGTAACCAATCCATTGCTTGAACCAAACTGATTGATGGGATTTTTTCTGGATCAACCGATCGTACCAACCGATCCCATCCAATTTTAATAACAATGGTGCAAATTATCCATTACGATAACTATTATTATTTCAAGACAAGGGAATAAATAAAAACGTGCCTCGATAATCAAATTCAAAACTCGATTTGATAAATTGAGTAAAAGGGCGGGTATGCGCTGTGCTTGTGTTTTTTTCTCCCCAAAACAAGTTTCACTTACAAGCAAGCGTATTTCATGTTTTTTATTTCTTCTTCTTTTGCAAAAGGAATTATCTTGATGATGACATATTTTAAATCATTTATGTGAAACGCTAAACATATAGGCTTGAAAGAGTAGAGAGAGCATAGAGTGCTAAAATATGGAAGACAACGGAAATTGTGAACTTGAGCTATATGTAGCTAGCTAGGTTGTCGAGTTTCTAGTTAGATGCTTTTAATTGCCGGTATATAAACAAAAACAAAATGCGATCAGTTCCTATTGCTAGATATGCTTAATTTTTGAACGAGGGCTGGTTCGGTACTTCTCGAGCACCTTTTCCCACCTCGTTCGTTGAGGCACAGTGACAGTACCCACTTTTTTTCCTCTCTTTTTTTCTCGGTTTGCTCCTCTTCCAAACCGCCCTTACAATTTTGAATTTGAAGCTGCAGAGGAGGTTTGAATTTATCTATATCATTCTGATCCATTTCAAATTCATAAATTAAAAGCTTTTTCAAATTTAGAGACTGTTTATAAATTCAGTATCAAAATTTACTAATCTTATTAATTGTTAACCAAATAAAGTACTGCAGATTTCTGATTAAAAATGTTTCTTGAAGGTGTGTGAATGAGAGACAGGAATCCTCCACGTACTCATAGTTGTTTATTTGGTAATCTTGTTATTTAATGCGGAAGTTCAAGTAGTCCGTAGTATTTAATCAATTATGGAATATTGACAACCCCTTGTACTGGTTTAAATTAATTGAACAAATAATTCATCACCTATATAAATTAAAGTTCTATACCAACAGTATCAATGTATCATCACCTGCGGCTGCCCAAAAGATGTTTTCTTTTTTTATGTATTCATTTATTTTATAAATAATAGAGTCAAACTTAAATCGAGAATTTGTGGATGGGGAGCACGTGCATTCGGTGTTCCATTTTTTCAAAATAGAAATTTTTTATGATATTTTTTTTCGTATTGCTTTATTTATTTACTTTCATGCCCTAATTTTTTTCTACTTTTGGGAATGATGCACAGGGACTCATGGAGCAACAAAAATACGCTCATAACAAGCTCAGTCAGCCTGAATATATAAATAAATAAAAATGAATGTTATTAAATTTATTTTTCTTAATTTTTCAATCTATCATACATAACTATAGACTTTTTTATGTACAATGTTGCACCAATATCGACACGAGACATGATATTCTGACATATTAATTTTAAAAAATATTAAATTTTAATATGTTAGGATATATTTTTAATATTAAATAATATTTTTAATATGTATTAATATAATTTATATTAATACAGTACATGATAAGACATATAATTAATCAAACATTTAAATTTTTTAAAATAAATATAAAGTAAAAATAATTTTTCATATCAAATTTTTTAATAAGAAAATATTTAATTTATAAATTAATTTTTTATATTTAATTAAAAAAATTTGAACGTGCATAAACGGTTGATCCGTGTCAAAAGACTCAAAACTATTGATGTTGAACACGTATTTTTCACAAAAATTAACCTGTCGGTGCTTGTTACCGTACCACTCATTAAAGTCAAATCCTAGTCACACGATGCTGTTGCAGGCTTGAGCCTAGCTCTATAGCTATTAGCTAGTTGTGTCGTGATTTGTTAGCATTTATACTTGTACATTTTTGTCAAGTTGTCTAAAAGTGAATGAGAATCTAGAGTAAACATTTTTTTTTATCCTGAAAATATTTATGAAATTTTTTTTAGTCTTTGGCAATAAAAAAGAATCAAATTGGTCCTTAACAGTATGTAAAAAAGTTAACAAAAAAGGGCCACGTTAGTGACGGAGGAGTTGACATAAGGACTAATGTAGTTCTTTTTTCATAATTTTAAAGACCAATTTGATCCTTTTTTATTGTCAGGGACTAGAAAAGATTTCGTAGATATTGTCAAGGACAAAAAAAGATGTTTACTGATAATCTATTATCCTTCCTAACATTGTTGAACTTGAAAGGTATATTAGTATAACTCTGACTTGCAAAGATTCCTTTTTTCTTGCTTCTTTCACGGGTTTCACACTGGCGAGGAAAATGAAGGCTTAAAAGATGCTTTGTTTGTCCTATTACTTTTCCATTTTCCGGACACTGTATGATATTATACTCTCACCAATCTAACAAGATAACTCAAAAACTTAGGTAGAGAAAGTCATTAATCCCGACCAACCTATCTTTCAAGCATAACATACTTTTTTGGCCATCACTTTTAATTTGAACATTCCAATATCTCACTGCTTTCAATACTTTTACAAAGTCAAAAAGATTGCACCGTTAGTTTAGAAAAGTTTAGACTTCGCAGTTAATTAATTACCCCCTCTGTCACGCTTGCTCTGTGAGACACAGTCACTACAATATAACAATATCTTAATTTCGTGTAATTGGTACACGGTAACAATAAAAAGAAAAGAGATCCATTTATTTTACTTTTATTCTCTTTCATTGAGAATTGAGGCCATTAAAATACCATTGTTGACAATTTGGTTTCTCTAACAGTAATTAATATTCAAATCTTTGCTGTTTGATCATTCGCATCTCATTATCATTTGTTAATCTATAAACTGGATTAATTTATTGTTTTAAGATACATCGCGCTGTCATCATTATAATTAGACGGAGAGAAGAAGGAAACTCCAAAATAAAACAGTCTATGTCGTGTTGGAAAATTAGGTTGGTTCGTTTTAATTAATTATCATCCAATGGTGATAACTGATAATGTTTGGGTATATAGGTTAGAATTGGGGGTAAATTTGGACTTTGAGAAAAATACTTGATTTTTAAATTCTGAATTTTTTTAATGCTTTATATTTTAGCTAAAAAAATTGAATTTTAACCATTTCTTTTTCTTTTGCATTCTTTAAAAACTGACCAATCACCAAACACTTACTTAGAATGAAAAGTGCTTTATATATATATATATATAAAACTTCTGGAGAAATAAACAAGTCATTCAATCGGACTGTTATTCAACCCCCCCCAGGCGCGGACCCACGTTGGGTCAAATGACCGCACATGCGGACACAGGAAATTTGTAAATTTATTTTTTTTTTTTTTTTTTATACTTTCTCTCACAGCTAAGCCTCTCACCGTACCTCTGTCACTCATTTTTCTTTCTGCAAAAGAGGGCAAGCCTCTCTCACCCTACGCTCTCACTCATTTTTCTTTCTGCAAAAGAGGGCAAGCGGATTTGAGCGCAGATTTGGCTTCCATTCAGCATCTTTCCTTCCATTCAGCGCAGCTTGAGCGCAGATTTGAGGGCAAGCACATCAAAACTCTAATTTTTTTGAGGCAAGCAGATTTGGCTTTTGAGGCAAGCTCCACCTCATTAATTTTTTTGTTGTTTTTTTTGTTGCTGTGTAGTTCTTAGTTCTTTTGTTGTGTAGTTCTTGGTTCTTTTGTCATTGCCATTTTATAACTTTATGGCTCTGTGAGCTTTCATTTCATTTGAGTCCTAATTGTTGGAAATCAATTTTTTCCTATTGTTAGTCTAGAAAAATGAAGAAGCTATAAGAGCTATCTACCATCTACCAGAAAAACACGGAAATTGGCAACAGATTGGTAGAAAGTTGTAGAAGTTGGTTAAATAATATAAATTAGTCAAAGAAACAAAAAAAGAAGAGAAGACAATTTCGAAAAGCAAGAAGAAAAAGAAGGCTGTGGAAAATTGAAGAAAGTGGTAGAAGTTTAAATATTATAATATATATTAGGAAAAGTCGGTTAGATAAAATCTATAAATATAGCTTGGTTCAATCTAAATATACATCATTGTTCACATCTAAATAGTTTGGTTCAATCATATTATAATGAGCTAATTACTCAATTTATTCTTAGAACAGAATGTGAATAAAGTTCCCCACTAGTTGTGAATTTGAGAAAAGCATTTCCTTTAAGCATAAAAGTTTTCCACAAACATTTGCCTCAACAAAAATATAAATGAAAGCCTCATAGTCCCCAGCCTTTTGGTTATTTAATTAATAAGAAACGGCTTTTTAACACCAAGTTTGAAATCTTGGGATTCTCTCTATTATACGTATCAAAGTTTGTAAGAGCAACCTAATATTCAAATAATTAGATAATAAAGTATTGGGTAAGGAAAAGGACTTTTATCAAATATATATTTATCTATCATCTGTCATTATCAAATGTTTATATGTTATATCTCTTTGATATTTGAAGTTTAAACTATATTTTGATTATTGCAGTTGTTCCCATTTCATATTCCAGACCTGTCATTTGGAAGTCCGTTGATCATATCAGGCAGATATAGTGAATTTTGAATCCATAATGCAATTTTGAATCCATATAATATTTATTTGGGATAAAAAGTACTAACTTATTCTCTCTATTATTTTTCTGTACCCTTCACAGGTCTTGGAAAAATTATGTCAGGGATACAATCTTATTTCAAACGTCAAAAGAGAACAAATACAGAACCTGAATCCTATGAACCTCATAGACAAAATGTTTCAATTGTTGAAAATTCTTCTCAATCTCAAAGACAAAGTGTACCACCACAAGCATCTCAATTTCAAAGTTTTCAATCACCACCTGAAGCAAAAATTAATATAGAAAATCTTGAAGCGGATCCAGGAAAAAGACCTTCACTTTATTCAATGACATCAAATCCTATAGAGAGAGAGGATATTCGGAGAGCTTATTTGCTCAAGGGTCCAACTCAACCAATTCTTAAACCATTCCATCAAACGGAAATGTTTGGAAAAATGCGTAGATTCAATTCTAAGTGGTATGAAGAATTTGGTTCTTGGTTGGAGTATAGTGTATCACGAGATGCATGTTTTTGCTTATATTGTTATCTATTTGATATAGAGGTTAGAGGTAGTGGTTCAGCGAAGGAGGCATTTGTCGGTGTGTGGTTCAAAAATTGGCAGAAGAAGGATAGAATCAAAGTTCATGTTGGAGATCATAGGAGTGTTCACAATAGATCTTATCAAGCTGGTCAAGATTTGATGAAGCAAAACCAACATATTGATATTGCCTTTTCAAATATTTCTGAACAACAAAGAATTGATTACTGTATTCGCCTGAAAGCTTCTTTAGATTGTGCTAGATACTTACTACGAAATGGTCAGCCTTTTCGGGGACATGATGAATCTGAAAGTTCAAATAAACAAGGTTTATTTCTTGAAACTCTAAAGTTTTATACTAAGCCAAATAAGGAGATGAGTCATGTGGTCTTGCAAAATGCCCCCGATAATCACAAAATGACTTCACCAAAAATTCAGAAAGATCTTGCTCAAGCTTGTGCTGATTTGACTGTTAAAGCAATAATTACTGATCTCGGCAATGATTACTTTTCCTTGCTAGTTGATGAAGCTCGTGATGTTGCAATTAAAGAACAAATGGAAGTTGTACTTCGGTATGTAAACAGAAAGGGGTCCATTGTTGAATGTTTTATTGGCATAATTCATGTTTCAGATACTACTGCAAAATCACTAAAAGCAGCGATTGATTTAAACTTTCTTTACAAAAAAAAATTTCGGGGGCGCTGCCCCCGAACCCCTGCCACTAATTGTACAGACATAAACATAATATCCTGGGTCCGCCACTGCCCCCCTACCCTCATTTTTTAAAGTGATTAAATTGGGATAACCTTCTTCGAAGCCAAGTTTTAACCGGAGAGATTTCCACCATTCAAACAGTTTTTTATATTAAAAAAGTATCTAATGTTACTTTAGATAACTTTGACTAATGTTCATCGAAAAGGCGTCGTTTTGAGGTTGAAAAATTAAAAAATTAAAATTATAAAGACTATTATAACCCTGAAATACATTAAAATTACAAAAATACCATGATTTCCATCCTAAAATGACGTCGTTTTGGTGAACATGAGATAAAGTTATCTAAAGTAACTTTAGAAAAAACAAACTTATTAAAAAATGAATGAAAATGTTTGTATCAAAATTATGATACATTATTAAATTGATAACTGCAGCTCAGAAGTGAACTGCAAAACATTTCTAGTTACATTAACCTGACTTTATATAAACTTAATTGATTACATAGTTATGCATCTCTTATTCACTTAAATGTGATTTCAATGATATGTTAAATAAAGAATGACATCTAAGTGTCACCTAACACATGTTATGCTCAATCAGTATTATATGCTTTAAGATGTTTGGTTAGTATTGCAGTTTCTCCCCTCACCCTATGACACTTTCAGATTGTATATTTATTTTGAATAATACATTGTTTATTTAATGGGTGAATTTTATGCAAATGAATTGTGTTATTATAAACTCAGCTTTATGGTTAATTTTATATGTTATAATATGTGTTTAGATGTGGATACGTGAATATAATTAATGAGAGATTGTGTTTGAGCTTTCATGGGCAAACTTGACGATTATTGTTACTAGAGGCTCCTCTGAGCGCCCTGGTGATATAAGGGTAGTGCACCTGCAAGATACTTTGATATTCAAGTCAATAAAAATGATAGATGTAAAGTATAAGGTAAGAGAAATATCTATGGTGACTGTCGAAGAACTCTCTAAAAATATATATGGTGATATATATGATGACTGCCAAGAGCCTTGGTGATATATATGGTGACTACCCAAGAGCCATCTAAAAATATAGCTTCTCAATTAGTGGATGATTTAATGTATAATGAACTTACGTTGGATAATATATTATTATGTAAATAGTTTATATTAGCCTAATAATGTCACGGGACACATTGCTGATTTGTTTTTGTTTTTGTTTTTTTTTGAGATATTTCAATCGATTATCGCTTCGTGACTAGTCCCGGGATTAAAGTTTCAAACCTCTTCCAAAGACAGTACTAGTAGATCATCGTCAAAACGAGACGTGGAAGCTTAATCAATGAAACGATTAGTCAATTATCTCAAAAAATGATAAACTTTAAAAAGGCCAATGCCAAAGATGGAGACCAAAGTGTTCCACGCTGATGCCCAACCAATCAAACGATATGAAAAAGATTAAGATGTTGAAGGAAAGAATAGAATTAAAAAATAGATTAACATACAATTTCATTCACAAAAGGCATTCGAACTTTGTCAAAAACAAAAAGTGTTAGACCCCATAGTCCTCCTTCCTATAATAAATTAAGGGTTAGCTTTTTCTGCAGTTACTCTGCAGATAAATTATCTGCAGCAAACTAATATGACGTCGTTTTGTGACGAAAATTATGGTATTTTTGTAATTTTAATTTATTTCAGGGTTATAATAGTCTTTATATTTATAATTTTTTAAGATTCAATACCAAAACGACGTCGCTTTGGGAATAAATGCAGATAACTTATCTGCATTAACTGCAGAAACATTTTTCCCATAAATTAATCACATATAATCAAAATTGAGGGTTTATATATATCACATAATTAAATTGGATAGATTCAGAAATAATCATGATTTTGTTAATTTGGGCGGATTCCATGTTTCCATCAACAATCAATCAAATATGAGTTGCTTACTCGATACGTCATATATATTAAATAAAAGAAGAAGACATGCATGTCTTTAACTTGATGTGAGACTAATTTTTCAAGCAATTATCATCTTTAAGCTACACCGTAATGGATTTAATTTTAATTCAAAAAGTCTTAAATTCATTATTAATTATTGATCCTACTAACATATAACAGTTATAAAAAAATTATGTAAATTATTAATTTCTAAAAAATTACAACCGTTAAATATAATAAGAATTAACCGCTAATATTTAGTATATATTTTTTTTTTTAAATTCACATTAGTATAAATTGAACATATATTCGCTTTTATTTGGTGGTGTGTCATTTGGGGGTTGCGGGTGTCAATGCTCTTCTAGCACACTTCGTTATTGATTATCCCTAAGAAATGGACTAATCATTTATGGACTCATTCGTGTGGCTCCACGAATCGAGCATAACAAGAATCAAATTTATTTGGCCCTACAACACGTTTGGAAATAATCTCTACATGACCGACATGTTGAAGGGATCATCAAAGTGAAGCAAAGTTAATTAAGGTATATAGAATGCAACTTCTCCTTGGGATAGAGATACTGCGACTGATTTTTTTATTTTGTCTGGACCACCAAACCAATGTTGCCGACCTAGGTGCGTGCATATAGCCATATACAACCAAATAAAGTTGTCAAAAAGACTTGTATGGACCAAAAAAAGTTGTCAAAAAGATTATCGTAATAACAACAATGTTGGGACCTTGCCTTTTTACTGTTGCATATATGCCCCTGGTTTTGCAAATTAAGTGTGAATATATCAAGAAAGCAGCACAAGGGGACAATTGATTCATTCCCTTTCTTTTCATTGTTGGTTTCTTTTATTTAGGGGATAGAAAGTGCATTATATATGTTGATGGGGTTGTAGTAATGGTCCTTTTTATTTTGGCTGCGACTATGCACACATGCATGCATCAGAATCAGAATTAGGTAACCCAGCAAAACAATTTGTAACGCGCATTATTTGTACATTAACCATTCATAGTAGATATGTTATATGAAATATATCTTATTTAGTTTCGTTCAATCAGGGTTTTTTTTTATTGGTTATCCGTGATCGCTTTTTTTTTTTTTAGTAATCTGATCGCTTTTTTATTTATGATAACAACGACAAAACTCAAAAAATAAAAGTTTGTTAGAATTCGAAGTGACGTTGAAAAATTTAAGATAAAGTAAATATATTAAAAAAATCATGAATGTTGGTTGAGACGGTGAGGGCGTTATTTGTTAATTGTCTATGGTTTAAATATGATAAAAGTGTTATTCATCTTAGAGGATATAATTTTATGTTTTTTTAGTGAAACAACCGTGTTTTGGTGATTTTTTAACTTCTCTCTTTTTCATAATACTTTTTTTTACTCCTTTTTCATTTTATGGAGAAGAGAGAAGATAAAAAAAACCATCAAATATGTACTAAAATACAGTTGTTTCACTTAAAATGATAAATATTTTTTCTTTGAAATAGAAAAAAAATATTTCTCACGTGATAGGAAAGAAAATTATCCCCTGCAAATTTAAAACGACATTATTTTGGAGTTTACGACTAAAAATAAATGGTATTTTTAAAATTTTACATTCCTCTTTGTATTATGAAATTTATTAAAATACTCTTTATTTTTAATCTTAAATCTCAAAATGATATTGTTTTGGGTTTGGAGAAAATAACTTGAATTTTATTGTAGATGCAAAATTAATGAAAAAATAATGAGTATAATGATGAATAGGGTTTTTTTTGTCTTCTTCTAGTTTTGTTTTCCAGACTGCTCCATGAAAACTTTTCTATGTTAAGCCTAGCGAATTTATGAAAAATAATCTTTTTATGATCTCTTGATAATGAGTTTCAATTTTTTCATACAGTGGAGGCAAATTTTCTCATGCTATAGATATATTTTGTGAGAGACTGATATCTAATTGAAAAAAATGCTGAACAAAGATTGAAGAGTCACTGATAGGAAAAAATAATTCTCCTACAACATGAAAAATATTTTTTCCTTGATAATACATAAGAATAATGCTATGTCATGGACTGAAAAATGAAAATCATAAAGATTGGACAATGAGGCCTTTATGATATGGTCTTCTTATATTGGGCTTAAGCCGACTTGGCCCACTCAAACACGATTGGGTAGAGTATGCGCAGTAAAGAAGGGACATATTCGGCAAACCACTTGAAAAAATAACGACCATGAAGAGTTTCTCTCTCCTTTTAACAGAATCGCAACTGTTTACAACTCTCTATCCTATCGTTTGAATCTAACATTAATTAACGAACGAATTTTACAGTTTACCCCGTACACATCCCATCAAACAAACACCGCCACGTGTTCTATTCTATCCTATAACATTCATTGTTAATTGTTATTATTTATCAACATTCAACCGAATTCTGCTACTTCACCGACATAGATGGTAAGATAGAGGACAACGTACAATAATGGCCACGGTTGCTGCCGCTGTAACTCCAAGCATTAACACTGAATCCCATAAGAGGAACAGAATTCAAGTTTCCAAGACCAAGAAACCCCTTTTCTTTTACGTCAATCTCGCCAAGGTATATATGGTTAAAAGAGATATTATTTGTAAACAAAAAAGAAAGAAAGAAAGAAAGATATATTTTGTAACAAAAGAAAAAGAGAGATATATTTTGTCATTTTTGTCTTCCTTTTTTATACTGATGCAAATACCGCATTGTTTCTGATGGTTTACACATTCAAGGAGTTATACTTGCACCCTCTTTTGTTTTTCCGGGTACAAACACCCTCTCATTTTGATTGTTCCTTAGTCATGATAAAATTATGGCATATAGCTGGTGCTACATCCAAAATTAAGTGAAATTGTATGTTGGATACTGAACACTGAAAGAATGCGTTTGCACACGTATTGTCCAGCTGATATAATCTTCTCATCAACTAAACAAACTTTCAATGCTCCATTTACTCCTTAATTATCCCATAGTTTTGAATCCATTTGTATATTCATGGTCATTAAGTTGGCGTGTTTCTCTACAGTCCAGATTTTGAAGAACAATGGACTTGCTACTGAGAAGAGTATGATTTCTTCTCCTTGTTTGTTATTAATATCTCATATGCATGATGGTTGTAGTTATCCTAATAAATTAATTTAGGGATGGAACAGAAGTTTTGACATCTTCAGTTGGCAAGAAGGATGAGAACAAAGGTCGTCTGGCGCAGAAGGCTAAGGTGGGTACCAAATGGATTTTAGTTTCTAGCAGGCCTAGTTAGTCCTTTTAAAAGAGGGGAACAAAAAATGTGTTATAATAAATAGATCATTTTTTCATGATTTTCTAGATTGAGATTGTTTTGGGGAAATCTGAGAAGTTTGACAATAAATGACAAATATGGGCACCTCATGTAGTTAACATATATAATGACAAATATAGCGAGCTCGGTCAATGTGCACCTCATGTAGTTAACATATATAATGTTATGTCATGGAAACAAAAAATGAACATCACCTCATGTAGTTAAAAACAACCAAAGTGAATCTGTCACTTTAAATTGGTTGTTTTCGAATTAAATCAGCGCCTTAGCCTTCCTCAACCAATCTAGATGCCGAATCTGATGTGTTCGATTCGTATATTTCAGCAGGCATAGAAATTCCAAAACTCCTCTTGCTTCGCGCGTTTGTTAAACCTAGTTATATCGGCATAAGGAAGTTGTTCTCTTGTTATGTATTCTATGATGTAGACTAAGTTTCTTGGGATTTGAATCGAATGCACAAGAAACAAGGGAAAAGATATTCTATCAAACAATTACTGTTACCATTATTAATATCAATCAATTTTACTGGCAAAAAAATTAATTTATTATTTTTTAATAAAAAATTACAAATAAGTAGTCGTTTTGCAAAAAATTACGAATCTATAGCACTCAAACACGTCCACATGGGGCGTGTTCTGATGGAGAGAGACACGCTCATGTGGGGCGTGAGCTTCTGAAAGAGACACGCCCAAGTTAGGGCGTGTGTGGCAGGAGAGAGACACGCCCAGGGTAGGGCGTGTTCAGTGTGGTAGACACGCCCAAATATGGGCGTGAGTGACTAAACTGACTGCTATTTAAACACCCACCCCCTACACATTCTTCACAATTCTGTCATTGTTATGCTAAACTCTCTGATAGTTTGCACTTGTTTACTCATATTTTGTTTTATCTTTTTAAATTTTGATTTTAAAAATGAGTGTGAATTCTGATACTATTCGTGTTGTTCTATATTTTAACGGTAGGAAAGAGAAGGTCGTCGTGGTGTTATTTTTGTAGGGGAGAAAAGACCATCACGTATTAAACGAAACTCAACGGTTGCTGAGCTACATCAGAAAATACATAAAAAATTATGTCTTCAAGACAACCAATTGATCACTCTTGTCACGACAAGATTATGGCAATGTGAACAATACATTAGCTTGCAAGTGGTCGATGACGAAGACATCGATATGGTAATGGAAGAGTTCTTGAACCAGTGTAGAAAGGATTTCTTAGAGTTGTATGTGGATACTATAACCGCGGAGGAAGTTGTCATACCAATGAGGTCAGTTAGGTCTACTTCTCCTCTTAATGCATCATCATCTGCTGCTCCTACTGTTAACATGTCTGAGGAAGATGAACATGACCCTACTTGGGTTATGGATGAGGAGTATGACGAAGATGATGAGGAAAATATTGCAATGGAGGATCGTCTTCTTTTAGAGGATGCGTGTGCATCGGACAATGACGAAGAATGTGGCAGGTCTGGTACTGAACTTCAACCATTGCATGATTTGGGGGAGTCTCGTATGGTTGTACATCATGGCACAACATCGAGTCAAGTACTAGAACATCCTGAAGGTATGCTATCAATTAATATACTGACAGTTTGGTTGTTGCAATTTTTGATTAAGAAAATAATTCAATTCTATTATTATTATTACGTAGTACATGTAGGCGATGCACCTGTTGTTCCTTTTTGGTCAGAAATTCCACATTACACATATATTGATTGGGATTATCCGAGTAAGGCACAATCATGGACGCAGAGTTCGGGTTCAATCCTGGGTCCTTGGCAATTGGGAGAAAAGTTGTTTGTTAACCAACAATTTACATCCAAAAAAGAGGCTCAGATGGCAATCAAGCGCTACCTCATGAAGGAGCATCAAGAAGCAATTGTGGTTGAGAGCACTCCCATAAAATTAAGCATGAAATGTTGTGCACACGTCCAAGGTTGCCCGTGGAGGGTCAGGGTAATTAAACCAACGTATGGTGAAAATTGGAAGGTAACGAAATGGGGTGGGAAGCACAATTGCTTGAATGACCATCTTTCTCAAGATCATCGACAACTTGATTCTGACGTTATTGCAGCACTTGTAGTAGGTACGTAATTTCACATTAAAAAGCTGATTAAAATTGCAGTTGATATACCTGTTGTTCTGTTAATGTTTATATCCAGCTTTTGTAATTCAGAGATGATAAAAAAGGAACCTTCACTGGCCATTTCGCTCGTTCAGGAGAGGATAACTCATTCATATGGATTCAAAGTTTCATATCAAAAGGCATGGTATGCGAAGCAGAAAGCAATGACAATGTTATATGGTGATTGGGAGGAATCCTATGCATTTTTACCCAGCTGGTGTGAATATATGCTTCGTTTTTCACCAAGTTCCTTTTACAATATTCAAACAAAGGATTGTTTTGTTGCGGGGCAGTTGGTTACCGGAAAACGTGTATTTGTTCGTTGTTTCTGGACTTTCAGACAATGTTGCGAGGCATTTAAATTTTGCAAACCAATGATACAAATTGATGGCACTCATCTATACAGAAAATATAAGGGAAAGTTATTGATTGCCACAGCTCAAGATGGTAATAATGAATGTGTGCCACTTGCATTTGCCGTTGTTGAGGGTGAGACATTGGAGGCTTGGTCATACTTCCTTACCAATCTTCGTCAGCATGTCACACAAGCGCATAATATATGTCTAATTTCAGACCGACATGTTAGCATATTATCGGCTGTTGAAAATAATCCCCTATGGCAGCCACCCCATGCATTTCATGTGTTTTGCCTGCGACATGTTGCAAGCAATTTTAATCAACGATTTAGAAATGACAAATTGAAGGCTAGCCTGATGAATATAGGTATGTTGCACACTATGATTGGTGAATTAAAATGTTGTAGTTTTTCGTTAAGCGTCAACTGTGTTTTTTTAAATTGTTCGCAGGATATACTCCTTGCATGGTGGATTTTGACCAAAATGCCACTCCGAGTGGGTAGGCTGCGGGATAGGTGGTGCAATGGTGGGGAATCTAATCCAAGCCCATATCTGCAGCACTATGTGACAACCACCCAGATTAACAGTCCGCGGGTTTGTTGCCACACATAAATGTCTAAAGAGATGGGCGAGAATCGCAGACCCCCAACTGTATCCGCCAATATCCGTAAAGTCCCCTGCAAGCAGTGGAACGTAACAACAAGCAATTTTGCTGCCACCTGATCTGTCACACACTAACCATGAGCCTAATAGCCGCAAAATGTGTGCCTTGGTGTAACGCCTCACCTCCTCTGGATTGTGTGCTACTGTAAACCAATCAACATATATCTTGTCTAAGTAAGAAATACGTAGATCGCCTCCATGAATGTCTGTGCCCGCAACAGGGGCAGTCCCAAAAACCTGCTGACACATAGCAATCCAATCCAACGCTGTAGATCCGGTAACTGCCTGCCCGTCAGTAGGCAAACCAAGTATACCAGCCACGTCCTGTAATGTAACGGTCATCTCTCCCTGCGTCATGTGAAACGTATGTGTCTCCGGTCTCCAACGCCCAACCAAAGCAGAGATCAAGGGGGTATCGATCTGAAGGAAAAACAACAATTATACAAAGTCCACATACGGTAATTTAATTAAGTAATTTAAACATTACATACCTGAACATGACTCATACGTGCCACGTGTATGAACCCAGCCTGTGTCAAATAGTCAGCGACAACGTCTGGTATATCATCATGATGGGGTCCCCCCTGAAGTTTCCCTCGCCTCGTCTTTAACCCCTTGACCGTATCCTCGTTCCACACAACTTGTGAAACGTGACTGCGATGTGTCCTCTTATGGAGTACCTCCCACCTATATGGTCCAGGAAGTACATGCGTACAAGGATCAAATGGCTCAAGATCACCATCGGATCCAGAGCGCGAGGACTCTGATGAAGACGAATGGGCCATAATAGAATACTACTACAAATGAAAAAGATGTACCCAAATTACTATTGATATTATATTAATTTACACTAAATAAAATTTAATTGCACTTAATTAAATAGCATTTAACTAACTTCAATTGTTATATTAATTTCAATTAAATTAACATCATTGACAATAAATTCATTTAACATTACATTATTCTAAAAATATATTTCAATACATTAAATAATTCAAATTCAATTTAAATTAATATTGCATACGGTATTCTTTTTTTACTAGCCTTAATTATAATGTGGTTAATTGAAAGGTCAATATGTTTGCAAGTGTCATTCATAAAAAAATATTTATTGTCACAAACTAATTTCTAAGTGTGCAAATAAGTCATAAAACCAACATATACCAATTTAGAAGTAACTAATTAATTTTTAAGTCCATATCTAATACATAAGTCACATCACAATTCTCTTACATAGGTCACTAATATTTTTCTAACCCCCTAACAATTAAATAAAGTCACAAATATTTTTCTAACCCCCTAACAATTATCTAAGTCGCTAATAACTATCATATATTAATTGCTGTTAATAAAAAAATAAACAATAAATAGGGACTTACATGAGAGAGAGACAGAGCTTCGCTGCGCAAAACCCTCCAAAAGAAAAAGAAATGTAGAGAGAAGGAGGAGGATGAGGTTTAGAGAGAGGATGAGAGGGTGGAAATGAGGTAAAAAAGTGAAAAACAGATTTATATACTCCGCGGAGAACACGCCCTACCTTGGCCGTGTTTTCTTCAGAAGCTCACGCCCTACCCTGGGCGTGTCTCTCTCCTCCCACACACGCCCTACCTTGGGCGTGTTTTCTTCATAAGCTCACGCCCCACATGGGCGTGTCTCTCTCCATCAGAACACGCCCCATGTGGGCGTGTTTGGGTGCTATAGGTTCGTAATTTTTTGCAAAACGACTATTTATTCGTAATTTTTTATTAAAAAAGTAATAAATTAATTTTTTTGCCCAATTTTACTGTTAGACCGATTATGTTGATGCAACGGTTATATTTATTTCTATCTTTATATGATTATGATTTTTCATATTTAATATTTAATATTTATTTTTCATCTTTGTATGGTTATAATTTTCCATATTTAATGTTTTCACAATAAATATGGGGAACCATAACCATACAAAGATGTGAATAAACATAACTGATCCACATAATCGATCGGTGAAACTGATTGGTAGTAACACTAATTAATTGTTAAAATATCCTACCCAAAAAATAAAAATAGAGCATTGAATAAAAAAAAATGTGCTCGGTATATTACAATCATAGAAACTATTTATTATTTACTTCTTTAAATAATTATGAGTATTTAATAAGAGATATTAAATGCTCAATCACCAATACGTTTCGATACGCAATTTTTATTTAGGATAAAATTAATATTAAGGAAATTTAAAGAAATATATAATTTTAGGAAAAAGTGTTTATCATCTTAAATGACATAAAGTTATGTCATTTTTAATGAAACTACGTCGTTTTGTTGTGTTTTTACATTCTCTCTCATCCACTTTCTTTTTCTTCTTAATTTTATAAAAAATGACAGAACAGACCAACACAACGTAGTTCTATTAAAAATTATACAATATTGTGTCATTTAAAATAATAAACATTTTCCCCATAATTTTAATTAGAAAAAAAGACTTACAAATTTTATTTAGTAGTTAAACAATTCATTTCACAATCTAATGATATATAAGCATATAATTTTTCATTTTTATTTTTTATAATAAAAAATAAGTAATAGTTAAAATGTTAAAAAATATTTATAATTAAATATGAAAAGTTAAAAATATTTAAAAATAATCATAATTAAAAAAGGCAAGTTTTTCTTACATCGATATAATAATAAGTTTTATACCAAATCTTAATCATTGATTTGCTTGCATCTAACATCTAACATATCTAATAAATTAGGATGATTAGATATGAATAAAATCTGCGGCCAAGATTGAGAGTGTAACTTTTGACACCTCATATGAGAGTCATTGATTTTGTCTTGATCTAACAACTCTGATTTGTAAGCATGTGACATCGTTGATCTATCTTGGTCCAACGATCCTCAAATAAGTTGTCAAATTTTTTATTTGATATTTGTGTCAAATGATCATGTCCCATGTATATGTATATTATAGGGTTTAGTGTTTCTTATATTGGTCTGAAGATAATTTTACTTACCTATAACTTTAATGTTTCTACGGTGAATGTAGATAAAGTATTTACATTTACTCCCAAACGATGTCATTTTGGTTTGAAAGATTAAAAAATTATAATAATAAAGACTGTTATAATCTTGGAATAAATTATAATTACAAAACACCTTGATTTCTACCACAAAACGACGTCATTTTGGGCTCAATGCAGATAACTTATCTGCATTTACTGCAGAAAAAACGAACCAATATAAATGAAAACATTGAACCAATATATATATATAGGTTATATTTTCTCATTTCACATGGGAGAAGCCAAGTTCCTACATAGATAAAATAAAAATGGATTTCACCTCTATTTTTTTTTTCTCCTCTTACTTGTGGATCTCGCTTGTAATATTGTCTCTTTGCTACATGAGATAATTCTTCTCATGTAATATAAGAAAATAATTTCCTTATATATATAGAGAAATATTTATTTCATGTCGTTGGAGATAAACTATCTTTTTTTTTTTTTTTGATAACAGGAGATAAACTATCTTATGTTATACGTCCATTGAATTTTGTGTCAACTTTTTATTTTTATTTTTTTAAATTATGGATCCCACATATTTGTCTCACCAATATGAGAGTACTATCTCAATCAACAATCAACATGAGATTAGTAACTCCCATATATATACACAATTTTATCATACATATATTTTTTAAACTATTAAATAAATAATTAACAATGATGGTTTTTGAGAAAGAAAAACAAAAAAGTGATTTTTTTATAGCAGTGCAGATAAAATTACATTTATTTATATACTATTAGCTTCATTTTTATATACAGTTTAAAAAAGTTTCTTTTATTTATTGCAATGTAATAGTTTAAAGTTGTGAGAGAAAGAAATTTCTTCAGTATCATGGGATATAAAAGATTTTGTTTTCATTTTAACCTATATTTTTTTTGTATAATTTCTTATAAATTTCAATTTTTTCTTGTATTATTATCTATCTCCTATGATGCATCGACATTTCAAAATATATGGCGTGTCGTATTCGACACTTTCCGACATTTCGATATTTTTCGACACTCCAACAACATTGCTTGACGTTTTTAGTTTCAATTATTAGATTCGTTAGATTATGATTATCATTTTATTGAATTTAATATGAATAAACAAGATATGTTATGTTTATTTGCAAAATTAACAAATATTATAAATTTAATTTATTTTTTGTTGTAAATGCAACGTAGCCTGTATATATTAGAAAAAGAACAAAAAATGTTTGTCCTTTTAAATGACATAATTTATATCTTTTCACTCTCATAAAGAGATGAGACCTACGTCTTTATATTTTTTTATCCACTCTCTCCTTCTTTATCTATCTCTTTCTCCCATTTAAAATGATACACATTTTTCTCATATATATTTTAGAGAAGATTTTCTCCAAATATGCAAAGATACTGGTGGAGTAGGTACTTGGCTGATGCCACCAGGCACCCCACACCGCGATATCCTCTCTTTATATGTTCCATCAGAGTCATATCTATATATTTACCTCACCTCACCCTCACCTCACCTTTACTTTCCTTTCCTTTCTGCTCTTTCCTCAACCCGAAACCCTAGATTCCATCATTCTAACTCCCCCAAACTTGTAATTGTTGCTCTACCTCGTAATCAAGGTAATTTTAACTACCAATAATCACGCCACTGTACAGTGACTTGTTCAGTAATTGATTTGGTTGTTGATTATTCGTTTCTCATGTGTATTAGTGACTTTACCCCCGAGAAAGCTTTCTAGATCCAGTTAATCTGAACTTTCGTTTCGAGATTGCATGTGATGTTTCTGCCATATCTGTAACATTATTTATTTATTTTTGTGTTTTGGTAGTGGAATCAGTGAAACCCGTATGGCTGAAGTTGATCAGAACACAGGTGAACATGACGCGGAGCAAATAATTGAGAACTCTGTAGAGCCCGAACAAAACGAAGGGCAGGTTGAGGAGCCTGTTGGTGTTGCTGAGCCTGAGAAGAAATGGCCAGGGTGGCCCGGGGAGAGTGTGTTCAGGATGTTAGTTCCTGCTCAGAAGGTTGGGGGTATAATTGGACGTAAAGGAGAGTTTATTAAAAAAATTGTAGAGGAGACACGAGCTCGTATTAAAATTCTTGATGGTCCCCCCGGAACTGCAGAGAGGGCTGTAAGTATCATCATTTCTCACTTTCACCCTAACTTTATCAATTCACCTTATATGTAAGTTTCTGACTGGTTAAATGCAACTTTGGGAGGAATGGTGTTCTTTTTGTTGCTTCAGCTGGTTGCTATTAAAGTATTGATCTGGAATTCTTTTGTATGCTTTTTTGTGCATTTCTTTTTTTTATCCATATTTGGCTTAGTTTATTATTTTAAAAGCTTTTGATCAAGGGTTTTTTTATTTTTTTTTTATTTTTTATAATTGGAGTAGTAGAATAATATTAGAGCTATCCGGTTTTTTATGGAGTTTCTTAGTGATTGTAGTCATTACTTGCAATTATAGAATTGAGTTACATCTCTTGTCCATACTTTGTCTATCATTAGATAAATACAACATAAATAAAGGAAATCTGTATGAACCGATGTATGTCTGCTTTTCAAATATAAGGGCTAATGTGGTAAATACTTACGTGGATATTGAGGTACTTCCTATTTATTCTGCGAAACAAACTGCTTAGAAATTTTTAGATTAGAAAATATTGGGAGAGAGTTGCAGTTCCATTACATGTTGGAGGTTTGAATCCTTCTGAAGATCTGGAATTTATGTTTCAGGCATCATTTTGGTGCAATTCGTAGTGCTGCTAATTATCCAGTATAATTGTATCTGTCTCTGTCTGTCAAAGATGTTATAAAGAACAGATTGTGGCTTTCTTTCCTCCAGCAATCTTTCATGACAATTTCCAGTCTCCCCTTGTTGTAGCTAGAAATTTAAATTAAAGAATTACAACAACAAATAAAATCACCTATAGCCTGTTCATGGTCTTAAGTCTAAACTCTAAGGCGTGACCTTACTCATGTGCTACAATGAAAAGAAGAAAAAAAAGAACTAATACAAAAAAGATGAAGCAAATTCAAAAAAGAAGTATGATGGCAAGAATCCATAAAATATGAATTTAATTCTAACAGAAAATGAATCTGTGCAGGTTCAATGTTCCAATTTTAAAGGCAACGACTCAATCATCAATTAGATCCCAATACTGAAGAACCAAAGTTCCAGATGCAGGGATCAGCATTGAGCATTGCAAAGTGCTGAAAAGTTTATTAACATGTAGACATTTTGTACCACGAAGCTCTGCATTCCAGCTGGTAAATTCAAAACCTGGATGATTGATGTCTTGCCGCAGATTTCAAGCAATGAAATGAAGCTTATAACTGACTTTAATACAATACTGAAACCATCAAGTATCAAAACTAAAGGCTTTTGATTGTCATACATGTTATTAGAAGAAAAAGGATTAGAAAACTACGTAAGTCTATCATCAATCAATTTTCTTTTTAACACATGGAGCTTCTCTATGTGTTAATGATCCATATGTTATCATATAGTTCTTCAATAGAGAACATTGGCCTCACTATTGCTACAATTAGCTAAAATGCACTATTGTGAACAAAGACTCAATCATTGAAGAATTAGAAGACATTTTTACTGTGATATGCATCCTACATATTGTGTCATGTCACAAATTATTGACCGATTAGAATGATTATGTTCCAGTATGAGGCTTCCATTTTTCCAAGATGCTGATTTGGGAAATTCTGAGCCTGCTTTAGTTGATTGAATAAAAGTAGTAAGGACCATTTCTCATGGTATATGGGACATTTTGAGTTGTTGGCATATATTGGTAAAGGGCTGGGGAAGAACATGTAATATGTGTTCTATTGGCTTTTGGTATGCTTATGGTTCACTTCTCAAGAAAGAAAAAAGGTAGAGGGCTAGGAAAAGATACATAAAGTGTGGAATTATTCCATATATTGGTGGAGGGCAGAGAAAGGAAAATGGGGAGAGGGATCTTAGCCAGATGAAGAAAGTCAGGCTATACAATCTTTAATTGTACATTAGATATATTCATGTTTCATTTATTATTATTTAAAGAAGACGCTCATTAAGATCTCATCTAAATTGTGCTCCATTTATCCATCTGGAATCTGAACTTTGCAATATTATCATGCCCAGTTGATCATAATGAGCAGTGTGCTGCTATAGTTGGTACTTAAACAAAATGTAGTTTAACATTTTAATTTTCAGATACTGCTATCAGATGAGGTTGGGTAAAGTAGATTAATTAGGTGTAAGAGTTGTCCAGTTAAGGTCTTGATTATAATGAGCCGTAGGACTGTTACAAAACTTATCTGATGGTAAAGGATCCCTTCTGGCACTTTGCTGGCAGGTGAGGATATTATAGGGATTAATTGGGGAAGAAAAAATTACAGATAGAGGATTGGCTGTTTTTTTGAATTGTCTAAATTATTACAGTTTTTTTATTATTAAAATTGCTTGCTTGTATGCTTTCTTGCTGAGATTGTAGGCGACATGTAATGTTCTTGGTAATTAGTGTTTTGGTTGGTTAAAGATGAATTTTTCGTTTGCCACTCTATATTCTGTATTCTTGTAATATATAGACTTTGGAGAGAATGTTTAGGACAAGGATAGGCTGACTGTGTTATTTGTTCATTTTGATTAGGTAATGGTATCAGCCAAAGAGGAGCCCGATTCTTCCCTTCCTCCTGCTGTGGATGGCTTATTGAGGGTTCATAAACGGATTATTGATGGTTTAGAGAGTGATTTTACCCATGCTCCTTTGGGTGTGGCAGGCAAGGTTTCTACAAAACTACTAGTGGCAGCTTCACAAGCAGGAAGTTTAATTGGGAAACAAGGAGGAACTGTAAAATCTATCCAAGAAGCATCAAATTGTATAGTCAGAGTTCTTGGAGCAGGTTCTTGCTAATATTTCATATAAAATTTTCTTTTCCAATTGTTGCATTATTATCTTCATTATTTTAGAACAGTGTAATTCTGTGTACTTCATTGTAGTTTTTGTTTCAAATTTTGCTTTCCATTATTTTGATCATAGGGAAGGTTGAGCCTCATGCACTGGGTACTAGAGCTGTAATAGAGCAATTGTTTGAATATGCTTTTAAGGCCATTCCCTGAGATGAGGCGAAGTTGGTTACCCTCCACAAATCATATAACAAACTGCTTCCTTGGCTTTTTCTTTTTGTCACGAGTGTCATAACATTCTTGCCACTGTTTCATTTACCATTTTCGCTATTATTGATATCATGAAAGCTGTCAGATATGTATCACTAACTCCTATCAGTACCACTTAATATCCATTTGCTAATTCTGTTGTAAGGAAAATAATCATGATCTCATTTTTGACATTCTAATCTAGATCACTATGACCTAATTAGTTTTGAACTTTGGCATTCGGGAATCTTCCTTGCTTATCCTTTTTTAACTGAAAATTATATCTAGGATACAATTCAAAGGGAGTGTTATGAATAAATTACAGACCAAATAACAGCTATTACTTCTAGTATTTTGATTTTTACTTTTAAATAAAGTATTACTGGAAATTTGAATCTTTTTTCGAATCTTTGTATTTTGGTCCTTGGGTGGACTGTTTGACATTCTCAGTTGCTAAGCATCTGCACATCTTTCTCTTCTGCAGAAGACCTGCCTATTTTTGCTCTTCAGGATGACAGGATGGTTGAAGTAGTAGGGGATCCCACTGGAGTGCATAAGGCAGTGGAGCTTATTGCATCCCAGCTTAGGAAGTTTTTAGTTGATCGCAGTGTAATACCAATTTTTGAAATGAATGTAAGTTTGTGATTTAATGTTACACTTGTGAAGAATCTATCTTCATAATAAGCCGAGAAATGCAACTAAATTATTCTTTCTCAGATGCAAATGGCTAATCCCCATCATGTGGAGCACATACCACCCCACCAATCATGGGGTCCACCTCAGGGTCTTCCTCCAAATGCTGGTGGAGGTCCTGGTTTTGGACCTACTCAATACATGCCACCTCCTCGACAACTTGATAGTTACTATCCACCAGCTGAGATGCCTCCTCCTCCGGTGGACAAACAGCCCCATCACGGTATATCTGCCTATGGAAGAGATGCTTCAATAGGTGTTCATGCATCTTCAAATACGCAATCTGCACCTTCCATAGTCACACAGGTACTTTATTGTTATTGCTGATCTATTTTCTAGTAATTCCCAAAAGGAAGCAGTATGTTGTATGTATTAGATATATAGCTTATTATTGCTTAGTTGTGTTACTGTAATTGTAGTAGCAATTGTCTAGTGTGTTTGTGTGTATCTGTTATTCTTATTCTTAGTTAGTTACAGATTTGGTTAGCTATCTGTTAGTCTGTTAGATCTGACTCGTTAGCTGAGTCAGCTAACTCACTCTATATATTAGAGTGCTTTGTATCTTGTTTCTCAGATCACAATATACTAATTCAGATTCCAAATACTCCTCCTCTTTCTCTCTCTCTCTCTCTCACACACACACACACACATGGCTTTCTCTCTGAATTCGAGTAGTATGAAAAGATGAACCTGTGTTCTTGCTCTTTATAAAAGTTATTACATTTTTGTCAGTACAAATTATTTGTCTTGCTATTTCGGCAGATCACACAGCAAATGCAAATTCCTCTATCTTATGCTGATGCTGTTATTGGAACAGCTGGGACAAGCATAAGCTACATTAGACGAGTTAGTGGGGCTACTGTTACCATACAAGAAACGAGAGGTGTTCCAGGGGAGATGACAGTTGAAATTAGTGGAACTGCTTCTCAAGTCCAAACAGCGCAGCAATTGATACAGGTAATCTTGATCTTGTTCTTTTAATTAATTTAAAACTTTTTCAAACCTTAACATGCTGCTTGTTTTGTAAATATTTTTAGCTGTGGTGAGACTTTTTTCTCTTCTTAGTAGAATGAAATTATTCAGTGAAAAGCTGTTGGCAGTATTTACTGGGCACCTAATTGATTCATCAACATTAGTCTTTTATCTAAAAAAGGAGTGAAAGTGAAGATGGAAATTTAAGTTGTTGAATTTCTACATTACACAATTACCCTTCCCATTGCGAGTAAATTTGTAATTTTATAAATTTCTCTTCGTATTCACCCTCTTGTTTGCTTGACGTGAGAAGATCATCTGCTACTTCCTGTCTTATTTCATTTCATTACAAGCGTTTTCTTTCTTTTCTCAATTTGTTTCAAAAGAAAGGCTGAAAACTTTCTGAGCTTAATGCTAATCTTGCTGGATATTTGTTGTCGATGTTTGAACTGATTTACTTCGCATAATTAATTTTGCATGGCAATCAAGCAATGTAATTATGAAATATGTGGTGCAGAATTTTATGGCTGAAGCTGCAACACCAGCACAGCCACAAACAGGTGGGCCTGCTCCAGACCAAGGATACAATTCTTACCCGGCTCATGGTTCTGTCTATGCTTCTCCACCTTCCAATCCAGGACATGCTGGAGGCTATGGCTCAGTTTATGGTGCAAATTATGGGTACTAAGCTCAGCAGTGCAACTAAAGCTGCCATAATTGAAATGTAGAATGCTGGGAACAGATTTATGTAATAACTTAACAAATATTAGGACACTGCTAATGCTTTGTTTCTGAATTATATAAAAATTGTGATTTGTGTATGACACTATTGTTCCGTTTGTATTGGTAGTCATCTGGAAAGGTTAAATTATTCGTGGTCTTCTGATGTATTATTAACTTTTTATATGAATCGATATAGTTGGTGCACCTATGTCCCTTCTTAGTTTTGCATAAATTACATACTAGTTAAATACTATGGGAAATGCCAGCGAGCTTGTAGCTCAATCAGTGCAGTCTGTCTTTCAGAATTGTGTGTGATGAGGATATGATGCTCTGTCGAGCCACCTATCCCCTTATTTGTAATTAGGGTGCGATAAGGATGAGGATGTATTTGCATTTTCTAATTTAACAAAATAATACAAATTAAAAAAGTTTGGGGGAATTATTAACAGGGACCAACATGTGATGTTTATTAGTCGTGTTTCTAATTACATATTTGCAATTATGTTCTATGGTTTTAACGCAATTTTGTAATTGTTCATTATCAACGAAAATCATTATACAGCTGGTCTTTATAAAAGTTCCTAAATGCTATTTTTGTTGCAATTTTGGAAGCCCAAGTAAAATGGAACAAAAACAAGGTTATTGTTTTTACTTCTGAATTGAACACGAAATCTCAATTGTTTCTTGACTTGCCACAATTTCTCAACTACTGAATAACCAAAAAAGACTGAAGACAATCAAATAATCAACCTAAAGGAATGCTTTTAGCTAAAGTCAAATGTAGTTGTTTTCCCCCTTCTTTTTTGGCACAGAACACAGATTCACGGACCAAGACAGTAAGACGTTATACTACTCTACTGTGAAGTGAGCGAATTCGGAGTCTCTATCGCTGAGACTTCTAGGAACCGGTTATGTTAGTCAAATTCAGAATTGTAGCTTGGAAATAAGAGTCTGTTGAGCGAATAATTAATAATGTCAATTATTTGACTACACTATATATACATAGGGCAGCAGCAACAAATTACTTCACATTAAATGTCAAGGAAATCAAATACACAATTTGCTTGACGAACTAAGCTATAAAGCCTAAATAGATAATCATAATAACTGGAGAACCCTTTGCACAGAGGAGTGGTAACATGAGACTTAGATGGGAGCTGCACATGTGGTTCTAAAGTGACCTGTTTGATTGCAACGACTACAATGCACCACACGTTTTACACGCCCGCGGTCTTCTGCACGAACTCGTTTCTTTCTAGGTCGCCCAGGTGGTCTTAGTGATTTAGGAGGGTTAATAGTAACTTGATCAGCTTTGGTAGCATTTACATCACCCTCAGAAAACTCCTTCCAGAGAGATTTATCAGGAATTGGATGTATGGTCTGTGAGTATGTCTTCCGATAAGTTGCAACAGTAAAACAGCTTTCTGTGAATCTATGGACATTCTGTCTACAGGAGAGAAGTGCAGCCACAGCATGTGCACAAGGCAAACCATACAGCTGCCACCCGCGACAAAGACAGCAACGATTCCTAATATCAACAATATTTGTTCCTTCATGAGATATAACTTCAAATTCAGCTTCATTGGCACGAAGCACCTGATATGTGCGTGCACGTTCAAGAGCCTCTGCGACATGTCTCTCAGCAGAAGGTACAAGTATAGATGTCCACTGCATACTGGTCTCTCTGCGCTCATTAAACCAAGTCATCAGCTGCCTTCTAATGCATTCCATCATTTGAATTATCGGAAGGCCAGATGCATCTAATATCCATGTGTTTAAAGATTCAACTATGTTAGCTGTCAAATGACCAAACCTTTGCCCCTCAAAATATGCAGTAGCCCACAAACGGGGTGGAATTCTTCGAATCCAATATGCAGCATCTTGCGATATCTCTTCAATCTCTAAAATTTTTGCTTCAAATTCAATTACAGTAAGAGCATGAGCTGCTTCCCATAGAAGATTAACAAGCATTGCATTATTAAATTCCTTGCGAAAGCTGTCAGTCAAGTGACGCATACAAAATCCATGAAAAGCAGTGGGAAAATTTGCTTCCACTCCATCCACAATTCCCTTCTGCCTGTCAGACAAAATTGTAAGCCTTGGCATGTTTTCCGTATTAATCTCAAGCAGGTTGTGAAGTTCAGACAGAAACCACATCCAATTATCATCATTCTCCTCATCAACAACACCAAATGCCAGAGGAAAGAGAGCTCCATCACCATCAAATCCAGTAGCAAGAAGTAATGTACCAAGATACTTGCTCTTTAAATTCGTTCTATCAAGCCCCAAAAGTGGTCGACAAGCATTTAAGAAGCCATATATTGAAGCTTGAAAGGATATGAAGAGGCGTTGAAAGCAATTATCAGTTGGGTTTCCATAAACAGATGCAATACTGCCCGGGTTTGTGCGTTTCACCTGTTCACAGTATTGAGGAAGCAAGCGGTATCCTTCTTCAAAAGATCCACGCATTGCAGCCATGATACGCTCCTTGCCTCTCCATGCTTGCTTGTATGATAAAGTGATACCATGAACCCTATGAATCTCTTCCAATATCTCCTTTGGCTTGCAATTAGGGTTCTCCCTCAGTCTTTGCTCCACAGAACTAGCAACCCATTGAACTGAGGCTTGCTGATGGCCAAGATGTGAAATTCCTCCACATGTATGACTCTCGTGGATTGTCCTAATAGTAAACGTTGGAACCCCAGGGAGCTTTGCTGCATGAATGCGCCAGGGACATCCTTCACTTGCACATCTAGCAGTAAAGCGGGTCTTGTCAGATTTTATAGTTTGTATCTCAAAGTGCAGAGCAATTGCTGTATCCCTCAATGCCCTCCGGCAACTTTTGACATCAGGGAATTCTTGTCCAACTGACACTTCATAATTAGGACATATAGCTAATGTACGAGCCTGAATTACAGGGGGCGTGGAAGTAACCATAAGCTGGGATTCATGAACACCCATATCTTCAGCAGAATCAATACTCATTTCCGGGTTCTGGAGCACAGTCAGGGCCATGTTCTCATCAAGTTCTTGGTTTTCTGAAACAGTCAAATCATTGTTCTCTGATAGAGCCAACTCATGACTTTGTTCAGGAAGGGGCAACTCATGGTCATCATGCTCAGGTTTTTGATCCATGGCTAACTCATTCTCATGCCCAAAAGTGTGAACATCATTTCCTTCATCATCATGGTTCTGTCCTAAACCTAATTCATGGTCATGGGCATGTCCCAAGCCCAGTTCGTGATCATGGGTTTGTCCCAGATCCAAATGATGTTCACTGGTTTGTCCCAAATCCAAATCATGGTTCTGGCTGAGGCCCAAATTATGGTTATGACCCAGAACCAATTGCTGGTCATGGCCAAGTGCTAAATTGTGGCTTTGGCCAAGTATCAAATCATGGTTAGCCATTGAAGACATAAATTACTATATGTAACAAAAACAATTTGTGGAAAGAACACCTGCTGCAAGGACCCACAGATGACAATAGGAAAGTTAGATAAAATCAAACAAAAAGTAAAATTTGAAGGTTTAATACAACTAAAGTCAGGCCAATATATTGAACCTCAAACCACAGCAAAAAAATAGTTCAAACGAGGCAAGGGGGTGAAGATATATCACTATCACCAACTCCCACAAAAATATGAAATACATACAAAATGAGAAGCAGCTACAAAGATGGGATGCATAAAAACACACACACAACATGCTGTCCACCTTTAAGGACCTATCAGTTAGCACTTAGCACTATCATGCATTGCAAATGCCAAATTATAAATAATGCAACATCAAGTGTTCTTTACAATTGCACTACTGGGATTACAAAAATGCAAATCCATGGTTATATAATATTAACAACCACAAACAGTCCATTTGCATTTTTATTAATTCATAAACGTCCCAGCAACAAATTCAAATCATGTGAACCGAATTCCTGGGCAGCCTCACAGTGAAAACCACCACCTTTTAATTGCAGAGAATTGAAAACTACAAATCAATTTTGCAATCAAATTTAAAAAATAAAATAAAATATAAATGCATTGAGCTTAAGAGTGAAGACTCCAGTAAACTCAAGTCAAACTACCCCATCAAATAACAAGACTCCAACATTACACCACCGGTGAAGATCACCTCACACAGCTTTACCGGTGAAGCAGGTAAACGAAAAAGGACAAAATTTGATGGTAATACAAAATCATCACCAGAATTTGAAGCGATTATTAAACTTAAATCAAAATGCCGAATTTGCAAACTATATCCCCCAACAATTCACAATAACAAGACAAAAATATTCTTAATAACGAGAATCACAATAAAATTACCTGAAAGGTTTCGACTTGCAAAAGAGGAAGCGCAACCCTATATCGAAATCCAAAGGGGTATGGTATGGGTAATGATGAAAAGCCGGATCGAAGAAAGAAGAAGGGGTGTTGTGATTTGTGATTGAGTGATAAGAAACGGGAATTTGAAAAAATGGCGGGGAAATGGAGAAAATCGGAATTAGGGGAAGAAGGGTAAGGAGAAGAGAGGAAGATTGGGAATTAGAGGGGCAGAAGAGGCAGGGTTCACAATACCACAACAAAACAGAATCAGGGTATTTAGGTCAAACGAAATCAGGTTCTCCTCTTTTGCTTTTCTCCCAATTACTGTTTTGCCCCAATTCTAATTTAAACTTTCAATTTGGACAAGATCGCGAATACACATCCTTTTATGACACCGGAATTATTTTTTAAAATATTACTATTTTAATAATTGTTTACAAAAATATAGTTATTATAAAATTAAAAAATGGACCTATTGTATTCAATCATGCTTAAAATAGGGTGTGACCCCTCGTGCCCAACATGAGGCATGACTTAGGAGAGAGACACGTCCTGCATGGGGCGTGAGTAATGAGGAGAGAGACACGTCCAGCTTGGGACGTGAGCAAAGAGAGAGACACGCCCAATATGGGGCATGATTAGGAAACCCTATGTATACTCTCATTTTTCGCTTCACACATTCTTTCTAAGATATTGCTACGAGTTCTCTCTAGATTTCTCCTTGAGTCTTTTGCGTAACAAATCTCTACCGATCAAGTAAGTCTCAATATCTGTTTTCTATATTTTTAAATGGGGGAGGTTATACTTACTACTTTTTTTTTACTACCTCTTACTACCAAATCTTAACCGTTGATTTTCGTTAATCTAGCGGTTATAATTTATTGAGAATTACTAATTAATTAATAAACATGACTTAATAAATTATAATAACTAGATTAGCGGAAATCAATGGTTAATATTTGGTAATAAGAAGTAGTAAGTATAATATTCTCCTTTTTAAATTACAACAATGATATGTTATACTATTGACGTAGGATATTGTTATTGACGCAGGAAATTATTAGTGACGTAGGAAATTGTTAGTTACTGAGGAGTAGAGGTGCTAAACGAACCAGGGACCTTTGGCTCGACTGGTGAAGGGCAGAGCTTACATGTTTAAAATTGGTTGTTGGCTCCATGCTTAAACTTGTATAAAAGCTCGTTTAATAAAAAGGTTTTAGGCTCCAATTCAAAAGTTCGGCCTTAGAGCCTTTCAGGCTGGCCTAGTATATTATTATTATTATTTTATATATTTTTTATACTACTTGTAATAACCTTCTCTTTCTCCTCAATTCATTCACCCCATTTTATTGGTTAAATAGATTTTTTGAATGATTTTGTTCTATATTATGCTGTTTGGATATACATTGAATTTATGAATATTTATGTAATTACCAGTGTTGTTGATTGTATATTCTGTTTAGATAAATTTTTAATGTCTTATTTTTTTAAACAGGCTAAACCAGGTTTTTATTTTTTGTAAATAAGTCAGGCCACATGCTGATAATTATATTTATAACAAGTAATATGCTTGGGGTCAGGCTGACACATTTAAACACAGGCTTAGCCCGTTAACACCCTTACTTAGGAGTTATACTTCTTATTCAACTGCAGAAGAAAATTCATTCTCGTTGACCCTTCGATCTTCGTGCTTCTTTTTTTCTTTTTTTATATATGTGGGATCCACCCGAACTGTGTCTGTCGGAAAGATTTAAACTTCTGTAATTAAAGGAGAACTATAAATCCTTTATAATACATGCACACATACTTAAAAAAAATTTAGACTAAGCATGTAAATTATTTGAAATTAAATTCATTATAACAATCAATTTTTTAATTTTTAATAATATATTATTATGGCTGATTCGGCATCATCCAAGTCTCCTCGGTTTACATCCGAGCATGAGCCTGAGCCTTCCGATTCCACCACACATGTCCTTCGTGGCCCATACAAGTGGGAGGTACTCTGAAGTAGGACACAACGCATGCACGTTTCACAGGCCGTGTGGAACGAGGATAAGATTCGAGCGCTGAAGACTCAAAGCGGTAAACTGCAGGAGGGACCCCCTGATGATGATATCCCACACGTTGTCGCTGAGTTATGAAGAGTGTGGCGATGAGAATGGTTTAAATAGTGGAGAACTGGGTTAATCACGCCCAAATAATGCAGGTTAAGGTCCCTGGTCACACCCCATGTTGGGCATTTCTATCTCCTCACTCACGTCCCAGGTTGGGCACGTCTCTCTCCTCTTGACTCACGCCCCATGTAGGGCGTGTCTCTCTCCTATATCACCCCTCATGCATGGCATGAGCGGTCACGCCCAATTTTGAACGTGACTGAAATCAATTTTTATTTTCAAAAAAGTTATGTTTAGTTAATAGTTATTAAATTAATAATATTTTATTTTATTTTTACTTAAGACACTAGTCAACACTAATTAGACATATGTGATTTTCTTTCTTTCATTCATTCTTTCTTTTTTAGATAAATATATTTATTCAAACTTTTAAAAGCTCATCAATTATCAAAAGCAAAATAGGGAATGCAATTTTGTAAAGTAGTGTAAAGATCACACCAACCATATAGTTCTAGATATCATAATTACAATAATTGTTTTGTTATTGAGTAAATTTGTTTACCTTTCAAAAACAAATTAAATTTTTATAGACTTAATACATGAATGAAATGTTATCTGACATACCATTCAACCTCCTTCGGTCACCTTATCCTTAGAGTACAGCCCGAAGGCTACCCCTCATTAGAACAACGGGTGCATTGAGCTTCGCTACTAGAGGAATGATGAGACTAATCCCCCTTCGAGGACAGAGGCACGTCCTCTGGCCCCCAAAATTTTTCCAAGAATTTGCTTGAGACAAGATTTGAATCCCTGACCCAAGCAAATCCTTGAAAGCTCAATTGTCAATTGAGCTATCCTTGGAGATTATCTTACATATTTATCATGTACAGGGTTTGATAAATTTCAATAGAGTTTAATTTAATTTTATTGTAAACTTTTTTACACTACTATTAAATTGCATTGATATATAATTAAAAGAGATTTTCAAATAATTATTCTCCTAATCAAACTCATTCAATGATGTGTAGTACATAAATAAATCTTAATCCAACCTATATTTGTTCAACGGATACAATTTGCTCATGGTAATATTTCATATGGATAACAAATAGGTTATATCATTTCATAGGGGGTCGTCAACGGAAATAAAAAGAGAGGGATTCAAACCCTTGGTACAAAAATTTGTATAACAAATTAGCAATCATTCTGAGGCATGATTGAACTCTATATGAAATTCCGAGTTACATTACTTATAGCTTCCTTGTTCGTAGTCAAAATTGTTTCAAAAATCTCATTTATTCCAAGAAATAACTTGTATCCATGTGCTTTATATTGGCATGGCATTAAATGTTGGTCTAAAAAAACTTTTATATTAACTAGGGATCAGAATCAAATCCTTATTATAGTTGATGCAGAAGTGAGACACAAGAACTTGATAAGTATTGAAACGTAGACAGCCAAAGTTTTTTGATTTCAGCTAATTTGCTGCAGCTTTTGCTGAGGCAACAACAAAGTTGACGTTGCGGGACACATCTTTGTTCCTATTTAATATTCAGGTTATGCCTGTGGTGGGGATTAGGAAAAATGTTATCGGCCACATAAGAAATTAATAAAAAAAAAAAGTATCTAAATAATAATTCTAACTAAAATAATGTGTATCATAAACACTCAATTCAATATTGAACATGCGTTAAGTTATGGAACTTATGCTAAAAATGTATTCATATCTAAATAACGTATTTATACATGTCAATTTTAAAATGAAATATTCAAGAATGTAATAAGTAGCATCTAAATAAGAATTTTCACTTAAAGAGTCATCATCACCGTGATGGAAAAAAAAAAAAAAAAAAACCCCATAAAAGACAAATGAAATTGTTAGGGCTACCCATACAATCATAAATGGGCATTTTATTTTTCTTATCTTTGTATTATTAAAGGGGACAAAAACGTAAGGGAAGTGGAGAAAACGTCTTTTTTGGCCATAAAAGCATATGAGATAATGAGATGTTGGCATTGTAGTATTTTGTCAAATTCTGTGAAGCATAACATTATCAAATAAAGCTGCCGGCGAAAGGTGGCGAGAAGAAGCGAAGTTACTTACTCTTAAGCATGGAGGCAAGTCAAGTACTAGTAGTCTAACATTAATAACAAGACCATAGCTTATTTTTTTTTACCATTGCTCAATCTCCTCCATATAGCACTCGTCTGTTTCAACTTTCATCTTTTCAACCTACCATTAGTTCTCCTTTCCAAAAGTTTTTTTTTTTGTTACATTATAAATAATTACTTGACTCACTCCCATGTGTTGCTTATTTTTTCACCTTTGAAGTTTGAATATTGACAATTTGACATGTCATATTTTTTAACCTTTGAAGTTTGAATATTGACAATTTGACATGTCATGCCTGATTCTATTGATAACTCCCTAAAAAATATACACGAATGAAAAAATTGAAACTTTCGTCTTTTGTTTCTCTCTTACGAATTGGCTTTTTAATTTTGCTTTTTGAGGAAGGGTATATTTATAATTTCTTATAATTATATCTTAACCGTTGATTTTTGTCAATTAATAGTTATTATTTATTATAAATTAATAATTAATTAATAAATTTGATTTGCAAAAAAAAAATTATTAATTAACGAAAATCAACAGTTAAGATATAATTATAAAAAATTATAAACGAAAATAGAGTTTAAGTAAAAAAAATTTATGCTTTTTTGCATTTTGTTAAATAGTTCTATAAAATAAGTTAGAATTTCATAAAAAAAATTATTAAAAAAAAGAGTAAATACATTTTTCGGTCTTCAACAAATTTTACGATGCCCGCTTTAGTCTTAGGAAATAAAAAAGCTATTCGTGGTCCCTAAAAAATTCAAAGTAGACCCATTTTAGTCCTCTTTTAGAGACTAATGTGGATCTTTTTTAAATTTGCGAAGAACCACAATTTCAACAAAATTGGTCCATTTTGAATTTTTTAGGAACCACAAATAGCATTTGCTAGGAACTAAAGCGGATATCGTAAAATTTGATGGAGATCAAAAATGGTATTTACTAAAAAAAAAAAAAAAAGTTAAAAATCTCTTTTTGTTACATATGTTTAGTTTCTGTCAATCGATTCGGCTTACAATTTTTTTTTTTATAAATTACAGTTAATATAACTGTCATACGTTTAGAATTTTATAAAATTTATAAATATAAACTTTTGTCAATTTCATCCTCGCACGTTATGTTTCTTGCTTCAGCATGTTAGTCTCTTCAATGAATACTGAAGTTTGAAAGAGAAACATCATCTGCAACTGCACTGTTTTTTTCGGAATGTTCTCTGTTCTTTGAATAGCTAAATCATAGGTTCCTTGTTTTCTAATCTTCCGATGTTGCTGTAATGTTGTTTCATTTTTTTTTTATTTTTTTATTTTCTCTTTTTGGGGTATTTTCGGCATTTGAATATTTTCTCTCTCTGATCAGTGATCAGTCATCACTCATCACCGCCCTTCAACTTGCCACCTTTTGTCTTGGTCGGCTTCATTACCTTTTTTTTCTTTTAATTTTCCAAAGAAACAAAAAGTTAATGTGAATCCTGCGTGGATTTCCGTTGGAAAGCTTCAACCTTTTGGTTGGTTGGTTTACTTTGTGTGGATCGGTCTCTTACCTCAAACTTCCTGTTCCTGCTAATGGCTTATATTGTTCTCTCAATCTGATTCAACTCTCTTTCTCTCAATATTCACATCATATAAGGTATATTTCACTTCATTTTCTGTTTCTGCTTCTATGGATGATTTTTTCTATTGCCTTCAGTTCCTGTTATAAGTAATAACTATTAACTAGTAACTAGTAACTCCTTTTTTGATCTGATTCTCTTATATCTCGTGCCTTATTTAATTATCTACCTTATACATAGAAAGTTTCAATTACGTTTCAACTGCTTAAATTATTGGTAGCAATAGGATTTTATGGTTCAGTTTGTTTCTCTTACTTTTTTACCTGAACGTTTTTGTGTACATCAGGATTTTCTGGGTTTTGATTCATTATTTTCTAATTTAGCATCTCACTTAGAGTGTACATTACGATCAAAATAATTGTTCTGACTACTTTCAGTTTTCAATGCTTGATCTTGTTTTATGAAACCTGTTTATGCACTGCCACCCTCTCTCTCTTTCTGACCAATACTGTCAATTCAATATTGATTTTGATAAAATTTCTGATTATTGGATGGGGATAGTAAGCAAATAAACAATCTTTCTAATCTTGCTTTTTCTTTTTTTCCTTCCTAATTGTATTCAGTTTCAACCTTTTGCCTTGAATTGTTTATATCATACCGGGAAGAAGGTCGAAGTTTGTCCGTTTCAACTTTCAAGTAATTGGTTTCTTTTTTTGAGGTCACTTGAGTTGGTTGTACAATGACTACCAGGGGAGTTTCATCTTCTGACTGGCATAACCTCTCCACAAGTGTTACCACAGCCTTGGCTTCAGCTTTCCTCGAATGGTTGCTGATCTTTTTCCTGTTTATTGATGCCATATTCTCTTATGTTATTACAAAGTTTGCTGGTTATTGCAAATTACAAACACCATGCTTGTTCTGCTCAAGGCTTGATCATGTGTTAGGCAAGGAGAAAAGAGGATACTATTGGGACTTGATTTGTGGTGGCCATAAGTCGGAGATTTCTTCTTTAGTTCTTTGTCGTGCACATGATAAGCTTGCAAATGTTCAAAGAATGTGTGAAAGTTGCCTCTTCTCTTTTGCTACCATCAATAAATCCAATGCTGAAACTTACCAATTATTGGAGGGTAAATTAGGGGAGGAATCTGAAGCCAGATTTGATCAGGTTCCATTGCTTGGCGAGCATGTGATTGATGAAAAACACTGTTCTTGTTGTGATAAGCAATGGGTTTTAAATGGTTATGATCAAAGGTTGGTATTCACCAAGTCAACTGGGTCTGATGCTGCTGATTTTGATGTATCAGATCTTGTTGGAAACAATTTTCGTAAGAAAAGGAGAGCAAAACCATTTGTATCAGCCGGAGCTGCACACCTGAGAAATAATCAGGTGGATCCTTTGTCTCATGTAGGCTACACAGAACTCAAGATTACTTCAGATACTGAGTCCGAATCTGAAATTCCCTTATCTGATGATAATGATAGTATAAGCATACCAATTCGTGGAACGGACGATACCAAGGAAGATATAAAAGTTCCATGTGAACAGCCTTGCACCATTGATTTACCTGAGGATTTGGTTTCAGGGAAGCATAGGTCTTCAGCTTCTATACTTGAGCAATCACCACCTGAGTCAGAAATGCAATTAGAAAAGACAGATATTCATGGTACTAAATCTGCAGCAGCAACAATGGAAAGTGGGAATGGTTTGGGGAAACCTGATTGGCAGCAGGTTGAAAGAAATTCTGTATGTCCTTCATCAAGTGAGCCTATTTCCTTTTATGATGTCCCTACATTATCAAATAAGATGGGAGTCCCTGTTGAAGTATCAAGTGAAAACTGTAAGTTATTTTTAGCTGTTGCTTTTCTGTACCATGTAACAATTGGATTTGAAGGATGGAGGAGTATGTTATAATTCTTTGCAAAAAATTGATGAAAAGGAATGACTTAGTTATTAATATCCAAGTCGTTTTTTTAAAAAAAGAAAAAAATTCATTATACCTTTATATAACTGAAAACCCTAGTTTTTCACTATCTTAAGTCCATAATTACATGAGCTTTTCTGCTGACCATAAACCTATTTTCCATTTTTTTAATGAAAAAAAAATCATAATACTATTTTTATTTTATAGATGATGAAGTGAGGCTGACATCTGAGCAAAGACCCACCATGGACTGTGTGGAAAACATTAAGTCAGGCAATAAGCTGACAACATCTGAAGCAGGTTTAGAACCAACCTCTGTTTATAGTGATATTGGTCAGCAAAATCCCATTTTACTGGATCTTGGCGATGCTTATAAACTAGCTATCAGCAACAGAGGAAGACAGCTGTCTGGTAAGCTTGCGGAACATTGGCTTGGGAAAGATTCTACAAAAATTAGTGAAGATTTGAAGATGTTGTTGTCACAATTTTCTGCCTCTCGAGGGACTGATCTGTCTGTTAATGACATGAGTCCTAGGTTTTCTGTAAATAGTGATGAGGTGAAGACTTCTGATGTTTCTAACTCTGCTGGAATGCAGATCCTTCAAAAAATGATTTCGCTTGAGCGAAATGAGTCTGGTTTGTCTCTTGATGGAAGCATTGTCAGTGAAATTGAAGGTGAAAGCTCGGTTGACAGGCTAAAAAGACAAGTTGAACATGACAGGAAACTTATGAGTGCTTTGTACAAAGAATTGGAGGAAGAAAGAAATGCTTCTGCAGTTGCTGCAAATCAAGCATTAGCCATGATCACTAGGCTGCAGGAAGAAAAGGCAGCATTACATATGGAAGCCTTGCAGTACTTAAGAATGATGGATGAGCAGTCAGAGTATGAAACAGAAGCTTTGCAAAAAGCGAACTACCTTCTTGCTGAGAAGGAGAAAGAGATAGAAGACTTGGAAGCAAAGCTTGGGTTTTATAGGAAGAAATTACCTGATGAATCAGTGCAAGAGAACATGGTGTACACAAACTCTAAAATGAAGGTGAAAGATATTGGATTGGATCATTCAGAGTGTATTTTTATTGAAAATGATGAAAGCGGCGTTGGAAAGTCACTTACAGAAATTCCTAATATCCCTGACAAAGTCGAAGTTCTACTCACATCTTTGGAGGAAAAGAATGTTAAAAGTTCAACATTGGAGTTTCAAGATGAAAGGCTATATATTTCCCAACGTTTGAAGAAGTTGGAGAAGCAAGTTTACTTTTTCCTTAATATTCATCAATCTCAAGACAATTGGCTAAATTATGAATATGCTGAAAAGGAATCCCCAAAAAACTGTGAAAAGCTAGACAATAATTTTCTAATGCAAGATTCTGTTTCTTCACTTAAATTAAATTCAGATGTCATGGGTGATGATCCCTCATCCAAGAAGACCCCAATTTGCCAGCAAAAAGGGGAACTTGGGTACAATAGACATAGCTTCCCTGTGCTCCGTGGAAATAATGATTTAGTTTCTGTTGGAAGTTTGATTTCAGATTTTATTAGAAGGTTGCAAGTTCTTGAGGAAGACCAAAGTTTCCTTGAGCATGCTATCAACTTACTGAGCAATAGAGACGAAGGGCTTAAATTATTGCAGGAAATAGCTGATCACCTGCAACAATTACGTAGGATTGGGATAAGAGAAATAGATCAACCTGTTGCTTGAAGCTGTATATAAGGTCAGTAGTTACTGCTGAACTGTTAGGCAACAAATCAAAGCATTTCTTTTCTTATTTTTCTTCATTGAAATTAGATTGATCCATTTTGCTTTTTCTGTTTTGTTTGTTTGGACTAATTTGTAAAGAAATTTGTGCATTATAAGTATGTGGTTTACGATATTAAGTATGGAGGAAAATGTTTGACTAAGTTTGATAAATGCTTAGTGACCTGTTTCAAAAAGGCAAATTTCATTGACTTGAGTAGGTCACAAATAAAAAATATCATTTTCTAATTGGGCAATAATTGGGTGATTTTTTTATGTTGTCTTATAACACTACTACAAATTAACAAATAATAAATAGCTGTCTATAAATTGACCTGCTTGTGTTGTTATATTAATGATTTTTGGTTTTTGAGGGGAAGGAATATCAATGTTGAGATAACATGCAGTTAGGAAATAAAGTAAATCAAGTTGGTAGTTCGTATGTCACTGCTGTTCTGTTCTGGAGTGAAAAGGATTCCAGACGAAAGTATGATTCAATTCTGAAAGTTATGAATTTTAATATGCAGTCGTAGATTAGAGGAAGTGGAATTTTGTTTTGAGGAATAGATTATTGCTTTAGTTGGTAGATTTTAGTGATTGTTTATAGATTAATCATGTAATTACTTATATGGATAGAGACTAACTATAGTTAACAAGTGTGAAATCATAGGATAATGTGGAAAAAAATTAATTCAGCATATTGTAACCAATTATTTCGTGTCTGTTATGCCCTATAGATTTTTTGTTGGTTGAGAGTCAACTAATGAATGGGAAGATCATTAATCAATATATCTAAGGTCATGTCAAATCCGATGCCATGCAGAATCTCATAAGTATGCTTCTAAGTTTTTTACCTCATGGTCATGGCAGATATATTCAAAACATGTTTATTTGCAGACTAAGAAAACTGCCTGATACATATATGAACAACTGAAGCTTGGTTTTCTAGAGAGACCAAAATTTAAGTAAATAATGACTGTGGTCATCATATATGAAGTTAAATCTTCACTCCACATGTCTAATAGTCTGAGTTTTAGGAACATATAATGTTGTTACTGCCAAATAGATGGTGCAGTGTTCAAATATAGTATATGTATTTTCTATAAAGAGCGAATTGTCATCATATTAAGATTATTTACTTGATATAGGACATTTGTTGTGAATATTTCTCTCTCATCGTTTGTCGTATGTTGTAAAATGCAATGACGGCGTCTTGAGTCAAATTACTTAATCCAAGCGGTTTGCAATTTTGCATCAGATTTTAGTACATTTTATACAAAAATTTTACCTTTTGGTTGTTTGCATTTTTTTTTAGTAAATATTTGCTTGTTTATATTTACAGATTCATATACCAATGCTCAGCGACCAGGAGGAAGGTACATTGTACAATACTGAACCAGGTTACCGAGACTGGTTGCAAGTGCAACTGTACAGTAACAATAGCTTGCTATCAAATTATATGGTATGGAGAGTTTTTTCCCCACTTTCTCCTTTGCCTTTTTATTTGGGGTTAGTTTGATTGGACATTTTGCTGCATTGAATTGGTAAGGTTTTCATCTGGCCATTTGAAATGTCATTTTGCAATTTTTCTTTTTCCGTTTTTGCATTGTAAAATACTAAACAAGCAATGACTGATTGCTTGTTTAATTGGTTTCGGAGTGAGTGTTTTGGAAACAAAGTGAACTAACATTAGTATGTTATACTGATTCTGTGAAAAAAAAATTATATGGACGTTATTTGCTCCAGTTGTTTGTATAAATATTGCCCCAATGGCATGGATATGTGAGGCTTCATTAATAAAATTATGCGATGTTTTCCTCCCCTGCTTGCCTTATTTTGAAAGTGATGAATTTAGATAGGGAGATTAGAAAGAAAAGAAATGTAGAGTGAAACAGTGCACTCCATAATGTTGTTGATTCTCTTCAAGCCTTAGTAAGACAACTTCATTCTTCTGTGGTATGGTGGTGTTTTCAAGTTAGTATAACTTCCCTTTTTATTTTTATTTTTTAATATAAGGGTATTCTCATAATAATTTTTGCCTAATTGAAACTTTGTGAACAGTTATAATTTGACCGGGTTTTAGGAGTGGTCGATTTTTCGTGCTGTACATACATTTTCTCGCCCAAGGTCGAAACTCTGATATTTAAGATAAGGCAAAATATATTTTTATGTTATATGAGAGTGTTTTTCTCTTCTACACATACATCTATTTTCGTATTACTTTTTTTTATAAGTGGATAAATCCTACACATGATTGTCTCTATAGCATGAGAGAGCTTCCATGAAATTAATAAAGCCCTTGCGATAAAGAGAATATCTCGTTTAGTTACTAGTTACTTGGTCAATTTCATTAATCTAAGAGTTATGTTGTAGGAAAAATGATTGTATAATGTTATAGAGATTCGTTTTGCGTGCGGTAGTTTTTTTTTTTTTTTTTGCTTCAAAAAGTGTGGGACTCATAAAATATTGTGTGTAGGAAATTTTTTTGTGTCATGTTAAATGATGAATGTAAATTCCTTAATCTAATCCGACAAAAATAATTATCAAATATTTTATTGTAATATATTTGAATTGTTTTTGTTAAAAAACCGGTGGTTTGTGTCTCGTATAGTTGGCAACAATTGCATACATGAGGCTTATGACCAATATATATGAAGTTCTTAATTTTAGAAAAGAATGAGGAGGAGTATCCTCTTAAAATATCGTTTTAATAACTATAAAATATTAAATAAAAAATTAACACATTTCATATTTCATATTTTTTTTCATTTAATCTTAGGACGATATGATTTATTGATAAAAGTTCGAGTGCAAGTATTTTATCGGTTGGATGAAGAATAATTTTTAATTTTTTTAGATAAATCAAAGAAGAAAAAATTGAAACAAGGTAGGATATATGGGCTATGGCACATGAAGGCACCTCCTTTAATACAACATTAAAATCATTAAATAATATTAGTTTTTATGATAAAGCATGCTTATCTCTATAAAATTTTAAGGGTGGCGCAGTTGGTAAGCGGGTTGTGTTCAAAGAGTGAACCTTTTAATTTTTATGACTGAAAGGGTGCTATTTTGATATCTAAAGGAAGCACTTTGGAAATAGTGATAAAAACCTTCATGCTTTATATCATAAAAGAAAAGGGCTTGTTTTTCTAATGTTGCATGAGAAAACAAATCTTTTCTACACACACCATAAAAAGGTGTGTAACTCATTTTTTTGTTTTTTGTTTTTTATTTTAAATAGGTGAGTCTCACACTTGATGTATTTATGACATGATATTAGAATTCTCCTACAACATAAGATTTATTTTTCCTTAAAAAATAAATAAAAATTATTCAACAATTATTTTGGCGAGTATTAAGTATAGATATAAGGTTGCGTTTGATGAATATTCAACGACAGCACAAGTACAGAAGATTACATTGCCAATGGAGTTGTTTTGAAAAGTGAGTAAAAGTAGTGGAAAAAAAAAGCATTTGGGAGTGAGAAGTTAGGTTCTCTACAATAATAAATACTTTGTATAAATTTAGTGTACTCAACTCAGTAGTGGAAAAATCAAGCATATGGAAAAGAGAAATAAGGCTCTCTTGGATATATCAAGTCAATCATATTATTAATTATGGTATATTATAATAGTTAATTATTAATTAAATATAATACTTATTTATTAGTTAATAATGTGATTGACTTAATCACCTTAAGTGCATTAAGTTTAGTATTTTTCCTCTTCAACATTCAGTAATATAGGATGGCATAAGATAAGTGTATAGAACTAAATGCGTTTATTAATAGAATATTTTTCACTAATGATTACAATTTAATTATAATATTTACAAATACATTATTTATATTTATCAAAATATTTATTCCATTAAAACAGAGTAAAACTTTTTATTTGAATTATTCCGAACAACTTCGTAATGTCCTTGACCCAATGCACTAAACTAGGCACGGAGAAAATCAATAGGTAATATCATAGCTGATGAGGCAACCACATATTGACTTACAAAAATTTAACTTCAATTTTCCATGGTTCCACAAAAAGGGTGCGAATTCTTGACCACCTACCCAGTTCACCCATGGTTATACTAACTAAGACAATGCCACGTAGCGTTGCTTTATGCAGTGCGGATCCAGGGAACAGATATGGGTCGGCGGTTGTCTCCTTCCTAATTTTTGATATTTTCATATATTATATATATGAGATCTATTTATCTTATATTATATAAGATGATTTTATGTAATAGAAACAAAATAATGAAGTTTATTATCTTTTTAAAAAAAAAAATCTCACTATCTTGTCTCAATTGCGTAAGATAATTATTTTATATTATGCAATATAAGATAGTTATTTTTCTATATATGATTGTATCTTTATAATAATAATATATTATTAATTTCAATAATTAATTCCTTACTAAAAAATTATAATAATCAGCTCTTTTTATTAGTCTTAACAACATTTATAATTTTAATATTTATTTTCGGCCCCTACATTAACAGTATAAAATGGACCAATTTGGCCACTCAAACTTACGAGATTTGAACATCATATATGACATGGTAACTTAATACAAACAATTTATTTTAATATAAATCGGTGTCTAAAATTCTAATAAATTTGATTAATTTGATTTTGAGATTGAGTCTTTTCACTCTCTTCAGCAGTTGTGACTCCCAGTAATTAAATCTATTACCTTTATTGCAAGTCAAATTTTAAAGTTAACTTGATCCCAACTACACATGGGTTGGTAATGGATCTTCTCATATGAAAAAGTGGTCATGTGATCATGTTATTTGATCACAATCACTCGTTTAAAAGTTATGCATTTTTTTCTCTCTTATTTCATCATTAATGAGTGACTGTGATCAATAACACGACTACTTTTTCACATGAGAGAATCCAATTTCCACTGGGTTAATACGAATAATTCTTTAATAAGGAAGGGGTATTATATTCTTAGATAATTCCTTCATATAAATTATCGTTTTGATATAGTATTTTTTTTATGAATTTTCTCATATAATATTTTAAAAAAATAAATCTTTTCAATTTAGCCGCTTAAATTAAACTGCGGCTACACAGCTGAACGGTGACCGAACGAATAAATATTTGGTACTACTGTTGTACCAAAGATTCAGTGCGTCCCACCAATGAAAATATTACATGTCAGTTAAAATATTTTTTTTCTGTCAAATTTTTTCTGTCTCCTCTGATGTGTAAAGCTCTCATTCATGGGATGCACTTAATTTAGGTACAGCAGTAGTACCAAAGATTTATTCTGACCGAACACTTCTTAACTCACAAGTAACTATTATCTACACAAATGAAATGTCACCAAAAATTGAAAATTAAAGTTGTGAGCAAAATCAAACCCAAGCCCATTTAAAGAGTTATATTGTGGGCCAAAGAAATGTGGACTCTCCATGGCATAGTCATCATGCTCTTACACTAATTCAACACTTCAAGCTTGGAATTGTACATCACTAGAGTTTGAAAGAAAAAAAATCATACTATGACAAGAAAAATAATAAAAAGGACGGAAAGTAGAAATGTTGAACTAAGACTTAATTAACTTAAATATTAACATAATTAGTGGACTCTTTCAACAAAGACTTAATTAAAATAACATTAACGTATTACATATGTGAATGCTTGGCATTTGAAAGGAAAATTCAGGGTGTTAGATTTAGACTATCTGCAACCATGTTGAACATTTCAAACCGCGGATTTTGGTCAACTAAAACATTCAAAAAAATCAAAGCTCACCTTTATATAAACATCATTGAATTCCATTAAACATACACTACACCGTCATATATTATCATCATCTCTAATCTTCTTTTGTGTTTTTGATAATTCCTCTCATCATCACAAAATGGGTTGCCCCATGAAGATGTTGGTATTCACAACGATTCTGCTATTGAGTTTAGAGAAAACATGGGGAGCAAGGACATTAGAAGGGGAACAATGGTTGGAGAAGAATCTAGTGATCCAGTCACTTCAAAGAGGACCCGTACGGTCTTCTCAAAAAAATCCATGCTCAACCGTACCTGGACGCAGTAGAGGGCGTTGCACTTTGGGTGAAATGAACCTCGCTGCAGGCCATGTTGTTCCCAAGTTTGGAGCAGCTTCTATTAACGCTAATGACACCCCAAAAGAAGGGCTCAAGATCTTAACTGGCCTACCCTTTCAAAGATGACCGTAATATATTGGTGTTATATATCTTAATTTTTGTCCAATACTCATCGGACATTTACAACTAACTTCATCATTGTAATTTTTTTTATACAATTACATTCATTTTATTATTCTTATATATTATTTTCTTTTCTTTTCTTTTTCAAATTTACTATATATATATATAGCATATACATGTTATATCATGTATCTCCTATGATCAGTTCTGTAATTCATGAAACTAAATATATTTACATGTTTTTCAAAATGATCCATCGAGCATTGCAATAGTTTTTTACAGAAGGGGCAAAAAATTTATATAATGAGATTTTATTTTTCTCGTGGATCTAATTTGTAGCCTGTAGGTAATAATTCTTCGGTTTAAATGCAACAAATGAGTTATTTCTTTCTTTCCTTTTTTCCGGCTTTCACGTTACATGTTTCCCTCTAGCTACTTCATCAACCGTATCTTAATTCTCGTCAAATTTGCGGGCTGGCAGTGGTATGCATGCATGCCGTGTTTCGAGAACAGGTTTTGACATTTACTTTCGCTACTTTATTCAAGAAGGGTTTGACTTTGTCGTGGTAAACGACTTTCCAAT